CATGTGTATGTAATTGAATTTCTCATCCATCCCTACCCATTGCTATAGTTCCAGATTGAAACCACTGCACTGGAAATTGGCATAAGAGAACAGCTCCTATTAAACGCTTGCGGGTTTCTCACAGACATCTGGTTGGTCACTGTGAGAAGAGGGTGCTGGACTACAGAGTTGATACAGCAGAATTGTTGACTGTTCTCATGATCAATAATCTATGTTGCCCCCACTTCCAGGCTAGCACAATGTGTTTCTCTGCTTTGATAAATAATAGAGTTAAGTAGAGTACATCTGAAAAGAACTCTATGCGTGACAAATATATGTTCAAGAATGTTTTCCTATTAAACCTCGCTGTAATCCACTTAGCTGTCCTGTTTTCTTCTCTGTCCTCAAAGAGTGAGAGAAGTGTATCAGGGGGAATGACCTTGTGTGATTGGGAACATTACTCTTTCATATCATCTGTAAGCCTTAACATCTTCCTAAAGGAACAGCCTCCTTTTAGCACAAGTGTTTGCTTATTTTCAGATATCCTATCACCCTTGACGAGGGAGACACTAATGTACCCTGGAGTTTTCTCCATTCACAGGCACTGTTATTTTTGCATTATGTCGTTGCCTTATGATTGATGTCTTTGATGCAGGCTGAGCAGCTTCTAGCACAAAGAATCAGGGCACACAGAGTTAGTGGTGGGTATAACTGATCAAACACAACCCGTTTGACAAGAGACATGCTGAGAGATTTCAGAGTTTCGTTTATTCAGGAATGCAGATGGCACATATGTGTGCATTCAGGGAACTGGGTAAACACAGGAGCTCCTGAAACTGGTTTATTATCCAAGCTTTGCCTTTCCTCGCCTACTGTTGGATGCACTGCATCCACCATTTTCAATATTGCTCATGCTGGTTTACATACATATATTGGAGTAAAAGGAAGCCAAAGAACAAAGTACCATGTGATACGGTCTTGCAGGCATGAAGGTTAACAATAGGGAAGATTTTCTAGTTTGAACAGTGATCCTTGTAGCAGCAACTAGCAATCACCATTTGTTTTCAGAGAAAGTCTACACAACTGATCGCTCACCAAGCAGAATACAATTCATATAAGGAGATCCCCTACGGCTCAATAAACTACCTGGTTTTGCTGCATACCTAAGACTGTTAGACAAAATACATTTGTCAGATGATGCAATTATCCTGAATTGTCACATGAGTGAAATACTTTCAAAGAATACCACACAGGCACCTACATTATTAGAATTTAGGCACCTGTTTAAAACTCATCTGTTCACCCAGGCTATCCCAGCAGTGTGATCCAGCTAGGATGATGGTGGTGATGATTTCATTTCTATACGACTTTATATTTTTAAGAAAACATAAAATAAACCAATCGAGAATAAAACATTGCTGAAGAAAGTCATATAGAAAGTATACATTCACGGCAACATAATTAACAGGAAAATAATATATTAACTTAAAGATTTCAAAATAAAACATTACTAAGTGAAGCCAACTGTAAAATGAGCATTAAAATAACATAATTAAGAAGAGAATAAAATGATGCATTGAGCTGATCTATTAATTTGTAATGGGTTTTGTGCTTGTTTTATGGAAGTAATTTTATGCTGTTTACAGCCATGATCTCCCCCCCCCCCCAATAACGGAGGTATGGAAATTTTTGCAGACGGAACTGGAAAAAAATTGTCTTCAAAAAAATTCTTTTATTGAGAAACAATTAGGGATCATCCATCCATTTCCTATTCTTGACTCCATATGCATTTGAAGTTATGACACGCCTACCTTTCGCACACCTCAGCCCATTTCTAAAAGGTCTTTAACCCTCTTTTTGTACTTGATCTCACTTATCAGCCCATGATAATTAGCTCTTCTTGACATTTGGGTACCGAGCAATGCATAGCTAGAGTAAAATAATAAAAAATAATTGTGCAGAAAGCATTATATCATAATCTGGTTGAGGAATTTCTCTCCCTGGAAAGGTTAAGCACTTTGCAATATGATGTGTGAAATTCAATCTTCATTTATTCCTGGGTAACCCCATGAGTTTGGTCCAGCAAGAATATTTTCCAAATGGCAGACCCATCTAATAAATTCACACAAGGGGGGAAAAAACTAGATTATTGCTCTGGAGAAAGTAATTGGGAGACATGGAAGGTAAGTTATATCTTTGCATATTGGAGAGTATGACAAAATTATTTCAGAAGATGACATCAAACTTAAATATGCACTCTGTCCCCCAAAACATAAACATTTGGATATCCACTAGTCTAGTGGAGAGTGGGGGAAATTGAAAACATACCATCCATAGATTAGAGAGCAATAGAAAACTAACAAGAAGCCTTGTTAGAGGCGGAAGCCATTCACACTTCTAGCAAAGGCCTATATAAATCCACAGTCTGTGTCTACATGAAGAAACTAATTTCCTGCTGCCATAGAGGCCTGATCGTATGGAGAAAAGTGTAAATGAGCAGTGACACCCTGTGGCCCTCCATACAGAGTGAATGCAACACAAACCAAGCAAAATCTGACAATCAGAACTAAAATTAGCTCCAGAATTTTTCAAGGGGATCAGATCATCCCATTTGAGACAACAGCCATCATTATTTACATGCAAAGTAATTTTGTGGGATGGTACGCACATGTATATGAATTGTCAACGCTTCATTCCTCTTGGCTGGTGTTAGCAGAGTGTGTTAACTGACAGCACCGAAAATCATTGTGCAGGCTGAAGGTTATCTTTGTAGCATTAAAGGTAAAGGTACCCCTGCCCGTACGGGCCAGTCTTGCCAGACTCTAGGGTTGTGCGCCCATCTCACTCTAGAGGCCGGGAGCCAGCGCTGTCCGCAGACACTTCCGGGTCACGTGGCCAGCGTGACAAGCTGCATCTGGCGAGCCAGCGCAGCACACGGAACGCCGTTTACCTTCCCGCTGGTAAGCGGTCCCAATTTATCTACTTGCACCCGAGGGTGCTTTCGAACTGCTAGGTTGGCAGGCGCTGGTTTAAACCCCAATGAAACAGGCAAGAAGCAGTGGTTGGGAGGAGAGTCTGTAATTCCTCTTCCTCCACCCAATGTGTGTTTGCTTGTTGAAACGAAATTTAAAGTCCTGATTAAACATATGATCAGGATGGGAAAGAGCTTGGAAAGGAGCATCAACTTTCTTGTTCAAGACCCACCTTCAGACAGCCCCAGATCAATCTGGGCAGCATAACCTGACACAGGACAAATGAGCTATCTGGACTCAACTCAGCTGAAGCCCAGATCTCCCTGATTCATCCCAATTCTGCTCAGGCTTCATTCAATTCCAGTGCATAGCCCTAAGGAAAATTAATAGCAAAAAATTACCAATGAATCAAGTGGGAAATAACCTTCCTATTGGTTCAGGCCCCTCATCCTAACATTGTACTCCTACTCCTGGAGGTCCTGAAGAGAATGATAAAACAATGTAACTTCAGACTTGGCAGCCTAGTTGGACAATAAGCTTAGGAAAAAACAGAAGCAGAGCTAGAAATGAGGTTCAGAAATGTTCTCTTACCTGTTATAAAATGTTTTATTTTCAAGCCTGCACATTAAATACACTGAGGACCTCAAAGCAGATATACACCAAATGCTTTGCAGCCAATGGTTCAAAGATGTTTCTCCCCAATAGACTTGCCTGGGAAGATTCTTATTGCCATTTTCTGGCATCAGCCAAAAAATTAGAGGTTGACATGATTGGCAGGAGATGCAACCCCAAAGCAGACATAACCAGAAGTACTATGTTCAGTTCTGGACATCACAATTTAAAAAGGATCTTGAGAAGCTGGAGCTGTGAAGAGGAGGAAGACCAAGAAGATCAAGGGTCTGGAAACCAAGCCTTATGAGGAATAGTTGAGGGTGGGTTTTTTTTTGCCAAATCTGGTGGCAATATCTAACCAGGAGGCCATTCTATGTCAAAAAATGGCAAAGCTATGCCCCAAAATGGGAAACGTTAAGCCAAACCATTCAAAATGGTGCCCAGCTTGCAAATGGTTGTGAAGTCTGTTCTCTCACCTCAAGAAACTTCATATCAAGACTGGTGGCGATATCTCAAGAAACTGCTAAACCAGTTCCAAAAAACATGTGAAGTCATGCTTTGTTCTGCCATCTTGATTCAAAATAGTGTCCAGCAACCAAACATTGGCAAAAGTGCCAACCCACCTCAGGAATCCTTGTGCCAAATTTAGCTATGATATCCTGATAGGCATCGAACATCCAGAGAAAAAACAAACGGAGAAACTACTTTCCAAAATACATAGTAGATGACATTGAAAGTTTCTATAGATCAAAGTGTGGGAGGAAGAAATGGGAAATGTGGCACTGTTTATAATGCAAGGTGCTAATTCCACTGGCAGAATAGGGAGTCTGAACATTAAGTTAGAAATGTGGCATAATTTAAAAAGGGAGGAAAGTATTAAATGTGTGAGCAATTAGTCTGGGGAAGGAGGTTGCCAGGGAGGCACAGGAAGTCCTACTAATAGGCAATGTTTCAAAAAGTGTATGTGTGATGCTAGAAAAAAGGTATGAAATTCTTTTTTCCATTCCTAAAATGTTTCCAGCATGCTGAAGAACCCTGCAAGCTCTCATTACAGACAAGCATTATGCACAGACTTTCAAAATAATGCATGGTTTTGTGACTGAATGAACAGTACATTAAAACTAGTATATAAAAATGTGCAGCCACTTTTGTTGCTCTATGTGGAATACAGTAGCCAGCACAATCAATGCATGCTACAGTCTGGGATACAGCTATAAGCATCCCCAACAGATGGCCATCTAATCTCTGCTGAGATACTTCCAGCGAAGATGAGGCCACTGCTTCCTGAACAGCTCTTCCCATTAGGAAGTGTCTCCTAATGTTTAGCCAAAATTTGCAGAGCAACATAGGAAATCAGATTATCTAGCTCAGCATTGTTGACACTGACTGGCAGAGGACCTCTAAGATTTCAGGCAAAGAGTCTCTTCTAGCCCTACTTGAAGAAGTGAGGAATTGGACCTGGGACCTTCTGCATGCAAAGCAGATGCTCTACTACTGAACTATGGTCCTTCCCCAAGGGTCTTCCATCTGTCTTCTACAGGACAGCCCTTTAGATAAATGACAGTCCACTATCATGCCTTCCCTTGATTTTTTGCTCCAGGCTAAACAACCATTCCTTGTAGGATTGCTACGAAACCTCTAACCATCCCAGTTGCTCTCCTCTGGATACATTTCATGTAGTTAATGCCCTTCATAAAATCACCCTCCCAAAGCGGCTGTTGCTGTCCTGGGTGTGTTGAAGATATTAATATTGTGCAGGTTGGAGCAATAAGATGCATAAAAACTGACAACAAAAATTGTCCAAATATGATTCTAAATCTTTACTCACAGAACTTGCTTCAAAATAGAACTTGCTTCAAAACAGAACACAATTTATTTTTATAAAAAGAATGATACACCCAAACAGTTGAATAACATCACGTGCGTGTCTAGCACAGGTTTCACCTTCTTACAAAATTGAAATAACTCCAAACAAACCTAAAATTGGAGGCCTCTCTCTCTATCCACATAACCTCCATTAGCCTGGAGCTGTTTTATCTTCAGGAGAGACCTCATTAGCACATCTTTTGTTCTCTGTTGCTCAAAGACTCAAAGACTAACTTCCTAAGATGGTGATTTGCAATTGAATACCTCTCTCACATGATCTAAAGTTAAACACCACATGTGGGCTAACAGAGAACATCAATGATCAACTCATCTAGGTGCTCAGAGAGCACTTCTTAGCTCCAATATACCCCAATGCAATTTTCCAGTTAAACCTTCAGTGACATTCATACAGGCATTTCCTATTTCAAGGTCAATTAAACCATTATACTTAACAAGATGAAGCTGGGTAAGGGTATTGTGGTGGGGTTGGGGCCATGACCTTGCACCAGCAGAACCACCACTGGTCAATCTGGCATTCTTACCGGTTACACAACTCTAATCTGACTGCTGCCCTGCGCCAAGCTCATCCAGATGTTGGGAGGGCAGCTCCACAGACTGATCAGTGCAGAATAGAGCAGAACATTTACTTCTCATGGTCTGAACACTGCACTTTTGTTAATGCAGCCTAAGATTTATGTCATGTCAATCGGTGATTTTGCATTCCATTCTTCCTCATGGAGCAAGCTGCAGTGCACACAAGAGTTCTCCTCAATCCTGTGCAGTTATCTTGGTATATAGACTGTCTCATAAGTACTTGATAGGAAAAATGCCCTATTCTCAGTTGAGTTCAGCATTTTGGCAATGCGTCATATGAGCCAATACAAAAAATGGCACAAAACAGAGCATCATTCTTGATTGCTATTTCCTGGCTCTGGAATTCAAACATTCATTTCGAAGTCTGCCAAAAGTCTCTCAACTGTTTCATTTAACTCAGCCTCTATGGGCGAGTTCAACAAACCCTCTAACATTTAACAGAGGAAAACAGATACACTTGTTTTATGTTAAGTGCATTAGGTGTTCGTAGCATGTTAGAGAGCAAGCCAGTGGAATGAGCCAGTTCCATGGGTCTACTGGCATGGCCTGCCAAACAATTTCTGAAGTATGAACATCAAAATAGACATGTCTCTAAGGCCCAGAAAGCACATCTTTTTATGCTGAGAGATCTGCTATCCAGTCAAAATAGTATTAAGTGCTTAACCATAGGCTTCTGCAAAGTTCAATACTGAACAATACAAAATATTCTGCAAATGTGATGTGGAAGGAAGTTTGACTGTATATAGGCTTTATCCAAAATTATTTATCCACATAAGAAAAATTGGTGCATTTAAGTATGGTATAACAGCTTAGGGCAGAGCAATGATGCAGCAGACAACAGAGGACTCCCCAGAAGATGTAAGAGATCCACCATGCCTCTCCTCCTTCATGTTGGTGAGAAGAGGCCTTCAGCCCATGATGAAAACTCCCCTGATGTGAGGGAGAATGAGGGTTTGGGTAAAGAAGAGCATCACTCTGAAGAAGAGGGAAACATTCCTTAGAAGGCACTGATTCTTTGGGGGATGAAGAGATATCCTCTTGAGCTGAGGATGCTTTTCCGGGGCATGGAAGGATCCTGGTGGTGGGTGATTTGATCATTAGGAGCATAGGTAGTTGGGTGAGTGAGGGGCACACATACTGCAGGGTCAATTGCCTGTCTTGTGTGAAGGTTGAAGATCGTACCCATCACCTTGATAACTTGGCAGATAGTGCTAGGGGAGGGGTCAGTGGCAATGCTGTGTGTGGACAACAATGTGATGGGGAAAATGAGGTCCGGAAAGCAAAATTTAGGCTGCTGAGTGGAATGCTAAAAGTCCAAACCTCCAAGGGAGTTTTTCCTGAAATGCTATTGGTTCCACACACACAGGGCAACTGCACCCCAGCCTGGGCTGAGGATTTCTCCTGGTCTGTGGTAGTTGTGAGTGTTGTCAGTGACTTTCCAAGCCCTCTCGAAAGGAACTGTAGAGGAAGTAGTATAGATCTCCCCCTCCAAAACTTGCAGGGCACTTTCATAGCCTAACAGAGGTGAGACTCCCGTGGCTAACCTTCGAATCCACCCACCACAGCTGCTTTTATTCTGCCCCCATTTAACTTTGCATATCACTTAATGAAGGGATGTCATTAGGAATAAAAGGGTCTGGTGACCGTTTCATATCCTCTTCCTAAGCCAACAAAATTACTTCAAACGTGTACTTGGGAACGGTGTGGGAGAATTATTTGCCAGAAATTGCTAGTCAGTTCACACATATATCTTTTTCCTCACCTTCCAGTGCTGATCAAATGTTTTGAAATAAAAGTCAGTCAATTTTTCTCTCCCTCTGCCTTTATTGTCTGAATAAAACATAAGAAATTGTCACCTCCAAAGGCCCATACAGTTCTAATTAACATTAACAGGATATATGAATACATATGAAAGACAATTGGACCCCACAGTGCAGTGTAGGAAACATCACGTGTAGATTTACAAAGTGGCATTTCAATTAACATTTGCTTCAAAACTGCCAGCTGCCAGCCTTTGCTTTAATGGGAAACCTTGCAACGAAGGCAGAATTATTTTAAAATATGCTTCCACAGTAGGAATGGGTGGATAAAACTACAATCTCCATGAATATGCTAAACACAGCACACAGTTATTTGCAGAATAACTACTGATGAACCTCTTTGCTCAGGTTTAGATAAAACCATACAACATAATTTTCCTCTGCAAACTCATTACAATAGATTGGATTTATGAGCCATCAAGTGATCCATATTGCACAATCTGAAAATATTGCTTTTCAAGCTTGAACATGTATTATCATGCTGAGGTTGGGCTCCCTGGAGACAAGGCTTCATGCGATGAAGGCCATTTCATCTTTGCTTTTTCTGGATTATTTCAAGTAAGATCATATTCAGGAATGTTCTAACGGCTTGTGTGCATACAACACGCTTTATGCCTTGATGGTTGTACCAAAAAGTACTCTGTATGTTTACCTCTAAACATTCAATCTGCAGCGTGACCAAAGCCTCAGTAGAATGATAATTGTGGAACATCAGTTCATAGAATTCCACGGAGAGCCTTGGAAGTTGTTCTTTCCCAGTAGAAATGATGCACAGAGATTCTGGGTCTGGTAGAGTCAACAATGTCCCATTCAAAGGAAGTAAAAGTAACTTTATTCTGCCTTGGTCAGACCACATCTGGAATAGAGTGTCCAGTTCTGGGTGCCACAATTCAAGAAGGATATTGACAAGCTGGAACGTGTGCATAAGAGGGCGACCAAGATCATCAAGGGTCTGGAAGTCAAGCCTTATGGGGAATGGTTGAAGGAACTGGGTATATTTAGCCTGGAAAAGAGGAGACTGTGATATGAAAGCCATCTTCAAATATCTGAAGGGCTGTCACATGGAAGATGGATCAAGCTTGTTTTCTCCTACTTCAGAGGGTAGAACCCAAAATCTATGGATTCAATGGAGATTCTGACTGAACATCAAGAAGAACTTTCTGATGGTAAGAGATGACGAGTCACTTCCAACTCTACTATTCTATTATTCTATCTCAGCTAGAAAGTGTGAAATATTCCTAATAAAAGAGCCTCTTTTAAAAGTCAAATGCTTTTGCAGTTTGTTACTTAAACATATTGATTTGCAAATGATTTGCTGTCATCCCTGACTTGACTTCCAAGTCACACTCTTGCCGCTCCCTTATTTGCCATGATCAATAAGAACTGCTTTCCCAAGACACTGCTAGACAATTTGTTTATCTTGTTTTCTCAGAAAAGAATTCATTAAGGATGCAGTGAATAGCCAGAAAGGGACCCCACTCTGTGTATATATACCACCTCTCTGTGGACCACAGCCAAATGACGCATATAGATGCTCTGTGTGTCCTCTTTTAACATGCAATGAAAATAACATTATGAAATTCTTTCACATTTTTTGTTTGATGATTTTTCACAGGTTCATTTATGACATTCAGTAAGTACAGGTTTGCTCTGTCACAACAAAAGGATATACATGACCCTAAGATATATTTGTGGGTTGGGGGAGATGTGTGAACCAGTTCAAATTAAAATTCCTGTCATGAGATGGAAAAATTCTGAACCACATAGGCAGAGTGCTCTTGAACTCAAGTCCTGCTTGCAGGTTCCCCATAGGCAACTGGTTGATCCCTGTGAAAACAGAATGCTGGATTAGATAGCTTTATCAGTCAGGCTCATCTTTTGTTCTTAAACAGATGTAAATATCTGTTAGATGGTTATTTGAAGCTACAGTGGTTTCTGCAACAAAGTATTGCAGCATATGACAGTCTCCTAACAGGAGTGCTCCTGTTCAGGGTTTTGGGTATCAGAGTTTTGGGTATTCTGCCACACCCTTCCTTGGAATACGGTACTTCATTTCCATTTTTCTTTTCCAACTCACACTCAAGGCTCGTCCAGACTTTTGCTTTTCCTGTACCCAGAAAGCACAGGCCTGAGCAGTTTTCCTCTTGACCTGAGCTTTCTAGGCACAGGTATGGGAGGTTTTGCCTCTGCCCTGCTTTCCCAGGGAAACCCGCTCTTTAGCTCCAAACTGGAGC